ACAAGGAAGTACTGGATACCTCCTTGTGCAATGCCCATAAAAGTACTTATGTAGGAAAAAAATGTAGGGATTTTGCAGACTGGCACAAAGGGCTGGCCTGGGGGTGGAGTTGGGTAGGGGCAGCCGCATGCCGGCTGTCCCACCTCTACCTCAACCCTGTCCAGTGCCCGTTCACACGGTGTCAAGACACCTTCTTGGCACAGCATGCACACACGCTGTGCAAAAAGGGTGCAAAAAAGCTCCCACCACTGCAGCTGAAAGGGTGGCCTTTTGTCACCCTGAAAAGAAGCGGCATTTTGCTGCTCTTTTCAAAGTGGCAAAAGGGCGGATCAGGGCCACGGCATGCGGTTGCTGTGGCCCCGATCCGCCACTCCCAGGGGCGGCTCTGTGCCGTCCCTTTCGGGCCATCTATATCAGCTCGTACTTAGTCCAGCATAAGTCACCAAGAGGATTCTAGCCTATGAGCATAATCATAATCATGATATTTTTGTTGTTAGCTGCCTTTAAGTCAACTTCAACTCATGGGGACCCTGTGAATTTCCATTATCTCCTATCTCCATGATCCCCTATTCTCCTCTCTGCGCAGGTCCCGCAGGTTCAGGCCTGGTTGAGTCTAGCCATCAGACATGCAGTCTTCCTTGCTTTCTATTGGCCTCTATCTTTCCCAGAATTATTGTCTTTTCTAATGAGTCATGCTTTGCATGATATGGATGAAGTACAACAGCCTCAGTTTAATCATCTTGGATTTCTAGGAAATGTTCAGGTTTGATTTGTTCTAGGTCCCAATTGTTTGTCTTTCTGACCATCCACAATATCCCCAGCACTCTTTTTCAGTACCACATCTCAAATGAATTGATTTTTTTTATCTTATTTCTTTTTTTATTATTATTATCTGCTTTCTTCACTGTCCAGCTCTCACATCCACACATGGTAATGGGGAATTCTGACTTTAGTATTCCGTTGTATATCTTTACACTTTAGGATCTTGTCTAGTTCTTTCATAGCTGCCCTTCCCATTCCTAATCTTATTTTGATTTATTAACTGCAGTCTCTGTTCTGCTTAATGTTTATCCAAGTTATAGGAATGTTTTAATTATTTTGATTTCCTCGTTATCTAGGCTGAATTTATGTAAATCCTCCATGGTCATTATTTTTGTTTTCCTTATGTTCAGCAGTAAGCCTGCTTTTGCTTTTTTAGCTTTCCTTAGTAATAATTCCAAGTCTCTGATGCTTTCTGCTAGTAGTATGGTGTCATCTATATATCTTAGATTGTTGATATACCTGTACTGTAAATAAATGATTGAAAATAGTTCACAGTCACTTATGACAAAGTAGATATGATTAAGCTCAGAGTGGGGAAACATTCTCCACAATGGTTTTGGATGGATGAATGGTGAGATAGAAACGAAGGCAGGTAGGCAGATGAGGAAACAGGCAGACAGACAGATGAGTCAGGGTTCCAGATCATCTGAAGAGTGACAGTGTTGTTCTAGCCCTTCTCTTCATATTTAACTAGGTTATGAAAGCCTGAATGGGGTTTTAGATAGATCACCTTATAGTGAGGAGGATCAGAAAAGCATGTAACTCAAGAGAGAGGGAAATGTTTCTGCACACTTTGAATGTTACAAAATAGCATGGAGAAGAGGAACTATCAGTCCAGTTATTCTTTTTGCTCTCCTTGTATCTCATAATATTAGATGAGGGGGCATTGTTGTTAAGTCTTACTTCATATTTAAAAAAAACATGAAAAACAGGAAGCACCAATAATCAATGCTACCTTTCCTTGTCACATCTCATAATTCTTCAAGTCAATGTCATTATCTTTCTTCCCTCCCCAAGATAACACTGTATTTCAGTCTACCATCAGGCAATACCTTTATCAAAACCAGCTAAAATGCCACACAAAGTGTGTAAACTTTCAAATTGTCTAGAACCTTTTATCCAACTAGGTGGTACTAAAATTAAGATGTGAAAGAAAAATCAGGGAAATTGAAAATCTTGGCCATATATTGGTACTAATAAAGGTATTGTCCAATTGTGGATATTTTTTCCTTTCACCCATGTACCAACTTATTTCCCTTTGTTTTTTGTATTTATATTAAATACTAACTGAAAGTGACTATCTCTGCAATAACAGATGTAGCTTGATAAATTACATTGTTGCAGTGGGATTGCACAAGATGTTAACAAATTTATATGTGAAATTTACAATGAAATTTTTAAAAAGCCTCCCACAGTTTCAAAAACAATAATCACTAAAATAACTTGATGATGGACCTGGAAAAGTTATGAAAGTTGTCACCTTGCCAATTTTGGACTTGATAATAACATGGTAGATAATACTTTCCCATAGGGTGTAACTTTTAAGTATAAGATAAGTAGCAACAGATTGATTTTGTTTTCCAAAGAACCTGGCACATCATGTGAGTTCACATCATCATGATGTTTTCCAAAGAACCTGGCACATCATGTGAGTTCACATCGTCATCATAAGCTGCCTTTCTCCCCCATATTCATTATTTATGTGAACACCTACAAGACATTTGTAGTTTCAGATTCCAATTTAACAAATATTGTGAAATCTTCATTATTATTGGATCACAATATCAGCAGGTCCAACATGTGGTGACATAAATAGAGCATCTAGCACCATGCAGCCTCCAACTTAGGGTGGCTCCATCAGGTCAAACACCATGCAAAATGATTGTGTAAACTTGTTCATATTGGATCCTTGAAAGTAATCCCATAGCACTCCTAATGATATTGCAATGATAATTCCCCTAGTGACTTGTATGCACATGTTTTCCCTTTTTAGGTAAAGAAAGATGCCCAACAGACTGAAGATACCAAAGTGAGTGAAACTATTGAAAAACATACATCTCAGCCTTGCTTGTCTATTACATATAAGGCAGCCACAGTTTGTAATCTAAGAGATAACGGGATCAAGAGTTGGATTGCCATGATGACATCTTCATCCTTGCTTTAACATATCTCATTTAAACCCTGCAGTTTGTGAATATAGGATGTGGGAGTGAACTATCCTCAGTAAGATAAGATGTATTTATTGATATATTTGATTTGTACTCCATCTTTCTCCTCAAAGAGAGGACGCAAGGCATCTGAAAAATAAAATCAAAGAAGTACAGTTAAACACATTATGCAGAGGGATCTTGTAGCACCTTTGAGATTAACTGTGAAGAAAAAAATGTAGCATAGGCTTTCGTAAATTCGGTTTACTTCCTCAGATGCAACTCTATGAAGGCTTATGCTACAAGTTCTTCTGCAGTTGGTCTCAAAGATGCTACAAAGATCCCTTTGCGTACTGATATTCCAGACTAACATGGCTATATCTCCAAGTCAAATACTTTGATATCACTTTAACTGACATGGTATTTTCCTATGGAATTCTAGGGCATGTGACTTCTTGTGGCAAGAGCTCTCTAGCAGAGAATTCTAAATACCTCATGAAACTATTCCAGGATTCTACAAGGTGGAGCCATGGTAGTTAAAGTGGTGTTGGGGAAAAAACTGCTACATTTCAGTGCCTCCACTACTGGTGTGTGGTGGGTGTGCACCGTACCCAATGACACCCATCAGAGTGCGCTTACCATCCATCTCAAGACACCACTTCCTGACCCCCCCTTACCTCACCTGCCTGTGTTTCATATATATCTCTCTCTCAATACCCTCTCCCTTCCAAAAGATGCGCCTCATAGGAAGCAGCCAGTAACCATGGTTTGTAGGATGCGGGGAGATTCATTCAGGGCAACAGAATCATCACCATAATCTCTTGTTCATGATTCTACCTCTTACAGCTGTGGAGCTGCTTTTAGTCAACTGCAACTAGCAAGCCTTAAAAATAGGAGAGGGAAAGTATGCCTGGTTGTGTGAGTACTATATTCTCTGGTATAAATCAACATGCTGGAAATGCAGGAAGTTCCTGGTTAACTGAACACAGCCAGGAAAAAAAGATAAACTGCCTGCAGCGTAATATGCATATTTACATTTGGGCAAATATGCAAATAAGAGTTCATTGCCCAGGATTGCAGTCCTCTTAAACTAGGCTATTTGATCTCAAACTAATTTAATCACACTAAGCTTGTTCATCACCACTGGTTTTGGCTTCCAGAATGAAAACTGAGGAGTATTCTTAGCACAGTTTTCATGACACAAGAATGCACCCATCTTAGATCTCATACTGTCCATGTGATGGATGGTATTTTTTTTTTTACATTTCAGTAAAGAGAATGGGGTTTTATTTGAGGGGGAGAGAATACATTTTCTTAAATAATAGCTTTTAAAGAGAAAAAACCTGAGTAGCAGAAAATCGAGTTCAGTGTGATAAACCTGTGCCTAATGTATAAACATCTAGAGGATTTTATGAAATCTAAAATGGGTGTGCTGTATTCTCATGAAAAGAGTGCTAAGGTTTTGTCATAGCAGCCCAAGCCAGTTGTGGTGACCAGGCTTAATATAGTACAGCTAAACTAACTGGAGACCCAGCGAACTGGCTTCATTTTATGAATATTCTTTCCATCCCAAATAGCCTGTACCCAACTTATATAGGTGTGTCTGATCATTACATTGGTAATGCTGAAATTCTTTAAAATTTGTCTGTGGATTTGCTTTTTTTTCCTTCTTCATATGCTTTTTAGATTACTGAGCAGCCTGCAACCACCACAACTATTGTGAAAACAGAAATAATCATTCCGCCACCACAGGAAAATCTAGCAGCAAAACAAACCACAAAAGCTCCTGAACCTCCAGTTCAGCAACCTGCAACAGCAACAGTGGTGATCACCAATGAAACTCCAAAAGAGGTGACAAAGGAGAGATCTTCGTCTACACCCACGCCCCTAAGTAAATTCTTTCGGAAAAAGGTAAGTGGGATTTCAGTACAAGATTGAGGACAGATCAAAGGAGAGTTACTCTGTGGAAGTTGCTACACAACATATAATGATGAATAGCAATTTGGACAACTTCATAGGACAAATTGTGAGGCCAGTGTGGTACAGTGGTTTGAGCATTGAGCTACAACTCAGGAGATCAGGGTTCAGTTCCCTGCTTGGGCATAAAAAAACACTGGGTGAGCTTGGACAAGTCACTCTCTCAGAGGATGGCAATTGCAAACCCCATCTGAAGAAACTTGCCAAGAAAACCCTTTGATCATTTTGCCTTAGGGTCATCATAGGTCAAAAATTACTTGGAGGCACACAACAACACCAACATAGGACAAACGGAAAGATAAAGCTATCAATGGCCACTAGTCATGATAGATCTACCGGTATATTCTTTCAAGAACCAGTATCTCTGTGAGGAAAATGAAGCCCATGGGCTGCATGCAGCCACTGAATACAACTTTTTGATCTCCAGTGTCCTTCTGGAAGTCCTGTCCAAGCCCCTTATTTAAAACAATAGGAGATTTTTCAGGCATTTTTAAAATCCAAAAGCCATCAGAAATGCAGAAAAATTGTATGCAGAGGCTGTTGTTGTTTTTGTGTGCATTCAAGTCATTTTTGACTTATGGTGGCCCTAGGGTGAACCTATCACAGAGTTTGCTTGGCAAAATTGCTTCTTGGGCCAGGGGGTCACCATTGCCTCCCTCCAAGGCTGAGAGAGCATGACTTGTCCAAGATCACCCAGGGGATTTCCACGGCTGAGCAGGAATTCAACCCCTGGTCTCCAGAGCCAAAGTCCAGCACTGAAACCACTGCACTGTGCTGGCTCTTTCCCCAAACTGTTTTTGGCTGTCTGTCAGCTCCACATTGTGACATGACTTCACTTCCAGTGTGCCATGCCCATCTGCTTTCCCCCTGGCAAATGGCACAGAGGCAAAAGTACCCCCTTACTGTGCAGTCGTTCACTCTTAAACTAGATCTTTAGTCTAATCCAACTCAGCTCTTCTTAACCTGTAATATGTGGATTCTAAATAATCATTTTTGTGTACTTGAATTATCAACTAGATTAATCATTAGAAGTTTTATCTATCACACTATTGGCCCTGGAATGCGAGGGGGTCCTTAATAGTAATTATGTATACATAACGTTTTCATGCTTCTTCAGGAAGATTTTTTTAAAGCTTATTAGCTCATTTAAATGTCTAACATTGTTCCCAAATCTTGTTGCTCTACAGATTTGCCAGACTACAATTCAGATTACAACTGCAGACTGATTGTGGATGATAAATTTTGCAGTCTGCTACATCTGGAGGGCTGGGGGGAAATGGTATAGGTCCATTCAAATTATCTTAGTGACTAGCAGGAACAGAGCCACACAACATGCCTTTAATCTATCTAGAACAAACTCACTGAACCAATGGGATTTATGTATATGTTGATTTCTAAATCAGTGATTAATTTTGAGCATATTGTTTGGCTCTGTTTCCCTACTAGTCTGAACTACTTGGGACATAGGCCCATGAATCCTTGTTTAAGCTTTTATATACATCCTGTCTAAACTTTGCACAGTTTAGAGAAAACAGAAATATATACATTTTAAAAATCATTTCATTTTACTTTCTCCACCCCCACCCTAATTCAATCACATTGACTCTCATCAAAAACAGAGCCAGTGAGTTGATTAAAGTTTTCAGGCTGAGACTTGAATGATTGAGCTTCAGGTCCTCACTAGGCTGTGAAATTCCCTTGTGTCAGTCCTTTTCTCTTGCTCTTACAATGACCTACCTCACAGGGTTGTTGTTAGGATAAAGTGGAAAGAGTATAACTGTATGTTGTTGTGTGCCTTCAAGTCATTTCTGATTTATGGTGACCTTAAGGCAAATCTAATATGGTTTTCTGGAGCTAAGCGCATGTGACTCACTCAAAGTCACCCAAATGTCTTCCATGGCCAAGAAGGAAATCGAACCCAGGTCTCCAGGGTTATAGTCCAAACAACTACACTATGCTGGCTGTATACCCTGCCTTTAGTTCACTAGGAAGGAAGTGAATATATACCAGAAACAAAACAAAACAAAGAAAGAGAAAGAAAGAAAGAAAGAAAGAAAGAAAGAAAGAAAGAAAGAAAGAAAGAAAGAAAGAAAGAAAGAAAGATTGAACCCTTCAGAATATCAGCAAAATACTCATCATCATTGTGGTGGTGGTGATGATGATGATGATGTTGATTGCTTTTGCAAATGAACAAATAACCATCCATTAGATTTCCTGTGTGACCGAACAGTCCATGTTTTCTGTGAACACACTGGTATTTCCCTCTAGGATATAGTTGTTGTCACAAGTGAAACTAATCCTTTGCATGAACATAGCGTGAGAGACAAAATGTATTTGTGCTGCAGCTGTAGCAGTAGCGGTAATATAATCCTCCTACCCAATACTGTTTCTTCTTTAAGAAAAAGAAGTCCTGGAAGACAGTTTCTGCTGTATTATTAACAATGGATTTTGATTTAGAAAGAGAACCAACACCTGCAGCGAAGTCAGTGTGGCTGCATGTCTGGGTTGGAGGAGCTAATATTAATACAAGATGGATAACAGGAGAAACGAAATTGTTAAAGGAGCTGGCTGTGCCATTTGTGGCAACATGCCAACAAAGATATGCAGATAAATTTTACATTTGGGAAGGCTGCTGTTTAACAAGCATACAACATCGATATTTATTATTTTAATACTCTTAAAGGACTTTATTTGACCCCTGCTATTGGGTTTAAATAAATATAGTATGTTTAATAGCTTTGGTTAGATATTGGATATTATCTTTCATCTTTTCCTATTTTCCTATTCCTGTCATCTAATATTGCATTACATGCTTGTGACTGCATTGTATTTTATATCTATGAATACAAAGTAAATTATAAAAATAACTTATAGTGAGAACAATACCCTAGATTGCTACCACAAATAATAATGATGCTGGTTCTTTTTAAAGTTGTTCTTTTATTGAATCATGACTAAAGCCTATATGTAGAAAAATAAGGTATAAGAAAGAAAGGTTCTATTTCAATTTTTTACCTGATGTGCTATAAGGCAACATGCAAGCTATCTCCAATTACAATCTCAGAATTTTCTCTTAAGTATACATTTCTTGTTTGGTAACAATTATTGTAAATATCTTGCAGACACCAACAGATGACATAGAGGTGATAAACACAGAGAAAATTGAATCATCTCCTGAAGTCCCAGCTAAAGAGGAAAACAGAAGCCAGGATGCCGCAGAAGCAAAATCCAAAGGAGATGAGAAACCTGCCAAAACAAATCTGAGGAAATTCTTCAAATTGGTAAGAAGGACATATTTGTATTGGAATGGGAGACATAAATAGCATGGACCAAGACTTTTCAAAATAGGCTTCCTCTGAGTATGTCAATGGTTAATGACTTTTTCGATTATGTAGAGAACATAGATCCCAACTGTCCCCATTTGGCAGGGATAATCCAAATTAATCCTCTGTCATCCTATTTAAATAGGCTTTTAAAATGTCCTAGTTTCTTCTTCCTGCTGCTTTGGCCTCAGCTTACTTCAGTTGCTGCAAAATGACTTCAAAGTGCAAAAGTAATTTGCACTCAATTAACTCATGGAGGGGGGGGGAGAGAGAGAGAGGCAAAATCTTGCTCTTTTTAGTAGGCTCAGGCAAAATCAAGCTGCAGCAGTCTCTCCTAACTTGTGAGTTCTTGCTCATTAATAGTTTTTACCATCCTGACCAACTTTTGATGTTGCTTGGCCACATGTGATTGGGTTTTCATCTGTGAAATGGTGGCAGGTACCAGTCACTGAAATATGTGCAAACAAAGAACAAATAGACAGGCAAAGTTGTCACTGGAGTCCTGTGGTTAAAAAAAAAAGAGTGGATTTATCTTTGTTTACTGTAGTGGTGTAGCAGAATTCCAAAATATTTTAATAAAATTTCTTCTATTGTTTATGGGACTGCAAAAAACAAAACAAAACAAACAAAAATGATTTATGGGATTGTTCTACCACAACTAGGGGAAGTTATTTGTTTGCATCACAGCTCACAGCATCCTAGCCCATGTGCATGTTAGCTAGGAGATTCAGGGAGCTTTAGTCCAAAACAGTAACATTCCCAGACTCTGATTTACTGGACCAACTTTTAACTTAAAGATGATATTGTTGTCCATGGAAGCTCACTGTTAGACTTCACAGTAACTAACAACTCAAGACACCTTCAGAAACCCTTTTCCACAAAATATATGACTGGTAGGGAAAATATTGTGGGATTCAATGCATTGATGATTTGTGGACTAGATATATTGCAAACGGAAGAAGCACTGGTGATCGTAACTTCAAGATTTGTCATGTAGTATCTGCTTTGAGCTTCCACTAATTGTGGCCAGAGGATGTGTGCAACTCTGTTTATAGTCATCTTTATACAATTATGGAAAGTTGTTTAGCCTTTGTTTTTGTCTGCAATGAGAACCCTTAAGTCTGATGTTGAATTTCAGCATCTTTCTCCTATGAAAATAATCACTTCAGTTCCTACCAGAATTTAAACATAAAACAGTTGGTCTTCCATGTAAACTCCTTTGTCTATCCAGTGTCATGGACAATTATCTTGAACCTGAAGGAGATGCTGCTGAGATCTTCTAACTGGAAAGCCTGGGAAAATGCTATTTTGGACTATAATTCCCACTTGTCATGCTAGCTGGGGGATTCTGGGAGAAGTAGTTTACAAAAGTAATATTCTTTCCTCAAGCTATATCTAAATATTTTTTTACTTTCACCCCAAATAGATCCCAAATAAGGTCAAGGCATTAAGATTGTCAGCCCTCAGAATAACAGGAAGGGAGGAAGTAATAGTTGTGATATCTTTGTGAATCTTAGGGCTTGTCCATATCTTCCTCTTTCTCCCTATACCATAGTGAATAGCTTTGTTAATCAATGGTTCCTTAGACAAAATTTTAAAAGTATATTTAAAAGGTCATGTTTTCTCTTTAACTAAAGAGATTTGCTCAAGAAGCTTCTTAGCTTGAGAACTGTTCCCATCATTCAAAGTGGGGGGAAAGTATGCTTTTTCCACCTTGTTAATAATTTCAAAACCAGAGATAAAAAGACAAGAGGATCTAACAGGCATCAACTGTGAAAGTCATTTGCAATCACCACAAGAGCA